CCGGGGAGAAGGGGCCTCTTCACCAGCTGGTATTGGTCCCAAGTCCCTGCTGCTTCCCACAACCGCTCTGCTCCACGGCCCCCCGTGACTCAATAGGGTCAGTACAATCCCCAGCCTCCCCCATGAGCCCCACTGTCCCTTGGCCTCAGTACCGGCACAACGGCAGGCCCAGATGAGTCCACGGGGATATGTGTGTCTCATTCTCCACTCACCATAACTTGCTGCCAGACATCAAACTGGAAGTTGCCAGGGGCTTCTGGAAGTTTGAGTTCACACAGATGGAGTGACTTCTGGGAACAGGGTTTGTGGTAGAGGGGTCTGCTGGGAATAGGGTTTGTGGTAGAGAGGGGTCTGGGGGTGAGGAGAAGGGTCAATCTCCAGGCCACCTAAACCACTGAACTGATTCTGCTTCCCCGCTCTGAGTGACTGAACCACTTCCTGTTACAAGGGCAGCTGGGGTTCTTCCTGCCTCTGCAGTTCCCGCCCCAAAGGGGCTGGGCAGAGCAGAAACTTAGTGCTTGTCTTTTCTAACTGGCATTTCCTTGAGCAGCCTGCTACATGCCACAGCCTGGTTAGGTGCCACTTGCATTTATGGTGCCATGAAGGAGTCCTCAGGTTCCAGGAACCCACAATCAACCCATTCCTACAGCCAGTGTCTCTCCCTTCTCCCACAGGCCTCCCAGCTCCACCACCTGCCAGTCCTGGGCTGGGGATGGGATGGTGCTGAGGAGGATTTCGTGGTCCTAGGGCTCATCTCTCCCTCAGCTCCCCTAAGATCAGAGCTAACACTTCTGTCATGTTCACCATGTGCCAGATACAAAGATGAGCTTATCTAGTCTCACATCAATCCTAAGGGCATGTCTACTGCTTTCATCCCTTCTTTATGGATAAGAAAACACAGGCACTGATAGTTTACCTCGCCCAAGCCAGTGGAACTTCAGAGCCTGCCTCCCAACCATTAAGCTTTCCTATTTTCACATTGGCTTCAGGGCTGTGCCACTCAGGTGGTGATGAAGGTGGTTGAGGAAGGTGTGAAGCATCCAACTCTGTGCTGATGGTCCCTGTCTGTCTTCCTGCCCAGTCCCTGACAGCTGCTGTCACTGAGGCAAGGCCCTGGCATTGGTAGTGACTTGTCTGCTGTCAAGACCAAGACCCACTCCCAGGGCCTTGTGGTATGAACGGCCCAGCCAGCGGCTTGCTGACATGGAGGTGTACGCCGCAAGTGGAAACACCTCAGAGCGTCCCTGCCCTCTCCCGCCCATGCCAACTCCTTCATGCTTATTCCCTGGTTTATACACCTTCCCCACAAGCCTGTGCTCTGGACAAGGGCTTTTCAGAACTCAGGAGCTCAGGGAGCCTTAAGGATTTGGGTAGACAAAGTTATTTTACCCATGCAATGCCTGACCAGGGCTGGAGCTTGTGGAGAACAGATAGAGCCAGCTCTGGGCACCCAGTCCTTCACAGGGAGACCCCCCCCCCCCCCCCCCCCCCGCCGCAAAAAGAAAGGCTTTTCTATGGTAGATTGGGACAGGACCCTGAGAACCATGGGTAAGCCACTATAAAGTATAGGGCTTTGGATAGTTTCAGAACTTGTATTGCTTTTTTTAAAAAAATAAAATTTTTATTGATTACAGAGAGGAAGGGAGATAGATAGAGAGAGATAGAAACAGAAGCAATCAATGATGAGAGAGAATCATTGATCAGCTGCCTCCTGCAAATCCCCTACTAGAGATGGAGCCCAAAACCAGGGCATGTGCCCTTGACCAGAATTGAACCAGGGACCCTTTAGTCCACAGGCTGATGCTCAATCCACTGAGTCAAACTAGCTAGGGCCCTGTACTGCTGTTTTGACTCAAAATAAACCAAACCCATTTAAAAGAAGGAGGGCAGGGATGGGAGCCTGGAGGAGTGGCCGAGAAGACCTTCTGCTTCAGGCAGGAGGGGACAGGCAGGGCGAGATTTTGAAGCTTCAGTCTTTCCTGAGGCTTGGTGCCTTTGACCACAGTTGTCCCAGGCTTTTGGATTCCACTGGGTGTCTGCCATCGCTTCAGCTCTCTGTCCTGATGGTCCTGCTCTGGCTTCCTATCCCTAGTTGTTGGGGTGAGGGGTGGAGAGCAGAGGGTGTGGTCTCTCTTCATATTCTAGCCCTAACTACTTCTCATCTGTTGTTTGATTAAGAGATTCCAATTATAAACCAAATAGTATTAATTAAGGTGACAGCAAAAAAGATTGTGGATAATTTTAATTTTCCTTAGTGTTTGCATACATTATTTTTACAAACACTTAACGAAGGAAGAACATCGCGCTTATGCAAAGATTTAGTTATAAGGATATTCACTGAAATGTTGTTAAAACAGTGAAAAAAACCCACAGAACCCTAAATATCCAATAATAAGAAAAAGGTTAAATAAATTATGCAATAGAAGACTATGTAGACCCTGGCAGGGTAGCACGATTGGTTAGAGCTTGGTTCTGATACACCAAGGTTGCTGGTTCAAACCTGGGACAGGACACATACAAGAATCAACCAATGAATCTGTAAATAAGTGGAACAATAAATTCATGTCTTTTTCCCTCTCTCCCTGTGTCTCTCTCTAAAACCAATCAATAAAAAAAATGTAAAAGAGAAGACTATGTAACCATTAAAATGATGCTCTAGACCAGCGGTTCTCAAGCTGTGGGTCACGATCCCTTCACAGGGGTCACCTAAGACCATCAGAAAACACATATATAATTACATATTGTTTTTGTGATTAATCACTATGCTTTAATTATGTTCAATTTGTAACAATGAAAATACATCCTGCATATCAGATATTTACATTACAGTTCATAACAGTAGCAAAATTACAGTTATGAAGTAGCAACGAAAATAATTTTATGTTTGGGGTCACCACAACATGAGGAACTGTATTAAAGGGTCGCAGCATTAGGAAGTTTGAGAACCACTGCTCTAGACCTATATTTATTTATATTACAAGTGTTTTTCATATTTCAAGTGGGAAAAAGGCAGGTTAGAAAACAACATGTACCATATAATCACTTAAGAAAAATCTCTTCCAGTACTATGAGTTCTCAAAAGCTTCCTATAGCAGAAAACTTAAATGCTATATAAAACACAACAAATACATATTTTTAAAATTCCTTAGTAAGAGCCCCCAAATAAAGGTAATCTACCAAGAGCATCCCCCTGAAGCTAACAATACAAAACAAAAGATAAATGGTAAATAAATGGAGAGGTCAACTAACTAGAAACCTAGAGCTTTAGGGACTGGGTAGGAGTATGGAAGGTTGGGGAGAACCAGACACTACCAGTGATGGCGAACCTATGACACGCATGTCAGAAGTGACACGCAAACTCATTTTTTTGGTTGATTTTTCTTTGTTAAATGGCATTTAAATATATAAAATAAATATCAAAAATATAAGTCTTTGTTTTACTATGGTAGCAAATATCAAAAAATTTCTATATGTGACACGGCACTAGTTAAGTTAGGGTTTTTCAAAATGCTGACTTGCGGAGCTCAAAAGGTTCGCCATCACTGCACTAAGCCCTAGGGTTGAGGAGGACGGAAGAGCTAAATGTGAGACACCATCTTCTGCCCAAAGCTGGGACCGTTATAAAGGTTACATTCTTAGTGCAAAGAATAAAGTCCACCTGCTTACAGAGGGAACCTACAAGGAAAACTGTCTAGGCTGCAGCACTAGATGTTAAAATCAATAAAGATGTTAGTTACCATGTAGAACTGCTCTCGTTCCCTTTGATTAAATAAACCATACACTGGAAAATTTAAGTAGCCCAGATTATTAATGCCCCCTAGAGTCCAACAGGTGCAAACTGAATCCTCCTTAGAGGAAAGCAGCCTCAATCCAGGCTTCTGGTTTAAATTTAGCCAAATTTAAATTTACAAAAATATTACTAAATATATAAGGATTCAAATCATCATGATGT